TAATATCTAAGGCAAAATATGTATCTACTAAAGTTACTTTTAGTAGTAATATCTAAGGCAAAATATGTATCTCTAAAGTACTTTTAGTAGTAATATATATGGCAAAATATGTATCTCTAAAGTACTTTTAGTAGTAATATCTATGGCACATTTTGTGAAATGTGGCGTTTGGTTTCATGCTAGTTTCGTTATATGATGAGTGTCTTTTGCTATAGTTAGTTTCCAAAAAGGTGGTGATTCCAACCTGACTGAAGTATGGAAAATGAATGAACCTGTTTATTGAAATAATGTATAGACAGATGGTATAAACCACGATTAATGTTACGATATATGTGCTAAATGAACACACTTACCACCAAATTTTACCATGACAAATGAAGGTTTAAATAGAACACAATGCAAGCAAAATATAACGAATAAACCAAAATAGAACTAGACATATTAGTAAACTTCAACTTATTGGGAACAGAAATGGAACAAACGTTTCTCAATAAAATATGCTCATAAACGTAGAACGCTATATTGTTATAATTTACAACAGCTCTTAGATAATGGGAAAAGAAATGTATTCGCAGTGAAGAAACTGTAAAGCGATAATTTGTTTCTATATTGAAATTATTGTAAACTAAATAGTGCAATGATTTTAATACTGTGAGATACAAACAAACTTTCTGACATTAATAGTCTCTGATAAAAGAAGTCTGATTATGTTTCTTAACGCAGAAAGGCTGTTTAGTGTAAGCAACACTTTCATGAAATATTGTCAGAGCTGTTGTACTTTCTGTTGAATTGGAAACTAAAATGGGAGCGATGTCATAAATATTGTAATAGTGCAGTTCTATGCTTCATTGTTATGTCATTGCACGTATAAGCATAGAGCCTTGAAATCTATCTTAAAATTAGTGTTACAATCTTAGTCAATAACATGATTTAAAACATGATTCAGTGTAAAAGTACTATAAGTTGTAATTCGCGTTTTTTAGCTTTATTATATAGATAAAAGACAAATGAAAATACTATCCCAAAGGATGATGGTTATAAATTTGATGTTTGATACTTTACACAGAGCACGTGGTATGTGAGGATGAGTTTAAGTATGCCCTATTGGCTAATAACTGTTTGTGTCCGGGGACTTCTACGTTCGTAACCCTACTCCTCCACACGTCCCGTGGTCAGTAAGTATACAGTTTTTTTTCTCTAATACAAACATTTGACATGAAGAAACCTAAGTACCAGTTTGTTATAGCCACATCTATATTTGGAAGGTAATAAATTAGATTTTTCCATCTGTCCGTTAAAGTATATTTCAATTAAATGTGTCGATTAATAATATTTACATAAAGTAGGAAATAAAACTGTTATGTTATCTCTCATATGAATTTACGAAAAAACTATTATTGTCCTTTCTTTAAACCGGATAAGTTTTTGGCATTCCAAACTACACAAAATAATAAAAGTGTAATTTGAATTTACTATTATAATTATTATTACTATTATAATTTAGCTATGAAAAGGATAAAATAATGTCAAGCATCTAATTTGATATTTTAGAAATCACGATTCTGATGCATTTTGACTTTACATGGCCATGTAAAGTCAAGTAGGCCTTGTCTGCTATGTGATCATTAGCCTGATCAAATGATATGTCCACTTCCATCCCTATCTTGTTTGTTTTCTTTTATCAAGTTCAATGGTCAGCCCTACACAGCTCTTTTATTTAGCGATACTTTTTTTCTAATATTTAACAAGTATCATTGTTAATAGGCTGCTCTTGATGTTGGTGGTGTCTATACTCCACACTGAAATGCCATGTAAAGTCAAGTAGGCCTTGTCTGCTATGTGATCATTAGCCTGATCAAATGATATGTCCACTTCCATCCCTATCTTGTTTGTTTTCTTTTATCAAGTTCAATGGTCAGCCCTACACAGCTCTTTTATTTAGCGATACTTTTTTTCTAATATTTAACAAGTATCATTGTTAATAGGCTGCTCTTGATGTTGGTGGTGTCTATACTCCACACTGAAATGAGAAAATAAATCCCTACATTACTGGCTTTTCCGCTTTGTTTATCGAAAGCTTGGTGTTTAAAAAGAATCTCAGGTTTCATGATTATACCTTTCTTTTAGTTAACTTTTTAGAATACTACTTTTATGATTATTTTTACGATAGAGTAACATTTTACGACTGAAAATTCTGGTTCTATTTGTTTTGCCAGTGAGGAAACCAGTAATGTAGTGATTTTATTCTCCATGTAAAGTCGAGATGGCTCAGTCTGCTATGTGATCATTACCCAGATCAAGTGACATGTTCACTTCCATCCCTATCATGTTTGGTTCTTTTTTCTAGTTCGGTAGCCAACCCTAATAGCTTTTTTATGTAGTGATAATTTTGTTCCCAATACTTGTTTGTTTACTTTTTTTATAAGATGATGTACGTTGATTACTAGATTAGAGTATTTACAGCTTTATATATACTTTGCATATAATAATAATAAAATAGGTAGTCAAAGATCGTGAACACTGTATTGCTCTATGAAATTATAATACAATTATAGTGACTACTAGAATTAGGTAGACGTTAGGCCTTTTGAAAAACGTATTGCTCTATGAAATTATAATACAATTGTAGTTACTACTGGAATTAGGTAGACGTTAGGCCTTTTGAAAAACGATGATAATGAAAGAAAATAAGGAATTTCGGTTTTGGCTATTTGCCAGTTTTCGACTTTGGGACGCCAGAGATAGCTAACAATAAACATATACACGGGAGATAGAGCGACTATTTCAGGTAGCTCTTCATATATAGCTTTTGATGAGCTGTAGAGAAGAAAATCCAGATGATTTTTATATTGCTTTAATACGTGCGTCCGTGTCATCCATACATAGAGAGTGCTGGTACACTCTTCGGTTAAACTATTTAAATCCTCTGTCGTTACCTGTTCATATTATATTTACTTGTTTGTATCTGTTGTCTGCACATTCCTGTGGAGAATGTATTCTTGTTTAATAATTTTCTTTTGTTCTTCCTAATGGGTCTCTTGGTTTAGCTGATAACGCTAAAACTCGGGTTTCGATATTCGCGGTGAGCACAACATACATAGTCTACAGCGTAGATTTGTTCTTAACAGCAAACATACGAAATAGTGAAGTTAGTTTAGTCATTGTGTATTTCTTCCTAGTTAAACAACTTTAAACTGTGTGTGTTTTGTGTTCACTTTTCGAGTTGATAAATTTGGTTTATTCGAAATATTTTGTTTGTTTTGTTTGAAGTATTCGCACAAAGCTACACAAAGGCTATCCACTCTCGGCGGCCCTAATTGTAATGTGATGAACTAGAGGGAAAGCAGCTGGTCAATTGCCAAATCTTGGGCTACTGTAATCGACTAGCGGGATTTGACCGTAACTCTTAGAACGCACCCACGGCCCCAAAGTGTGTTGCGCGATTTTTTTAAACTCGAGCTATAGATTCTCGGATTCACAGATCGGCATGCTGACCACTAGACCCTGCTTGTTCTTTTTAACTGATAAATAATCTGTGTTTCTTTTGAAATTATTGTTGTTATCGTTTTATTCCCAGTACATAGATTTTTTTACTTCTCTCGTATCTTTAATCTTTTTTTTTGTTTATGTTAGATAGCTTTTATTTGTTTATTAAGTTAGTTATGAAACACACGTAATCATTGTGTAATTTCCTCTGTAACTATTGTTTGTTCTTTCGGGTAGTCATATCTTTACAAATTTCGTTTATGTTAGATAGCTTTTATTTGTTTATTAAGTTAGTTATGAAACACACGTAATCATTGTGTAATTTCCTCTGTAACTATTGTTTGTTCTTTCGGGTAGTCATATCTTTACAAATTTCGTTTCTGTTAGCTGACACTTTGTTTGTTTTTGTTTGTTTTTAATTAAGCACAAAGCTGCACAATGAGCTATCTGTGCTCTGCCCACCACGGGTATCGAAACCCGGTTTCTAGCGTTGTAAATCCGCAGACATACCGCTGTGCTACTGGGGGGCAGCTGATACTTCTAGTGGAACTTGTTTACTTATCTGTAACTATTTCTGTTCTTCCGACTGGGTCCCTCAGTGGCACAATGTTATATCTACTGAGTTACAACACTAGCAACCGGGTTTCGATACCCGTGGTGGGTTGAGCACAGATTGTGTAACTTTGTGCTTAATTACAAACAAACAAATCTTCCGAGTGAACAACATTAAATTCCTGTAATACTAATTTATTGCTCCTACAAATATTATTTTCTTTTAATATTTTTTTTTTCAATTGCGTTTATTGAATAAAATTTACTTATTTATTTTCCCCCTGTTTTTTGCATAAAAAAAAGTATTAATGTTTTTCTGTTGTTGTTTTTTTCACCATTCTTTCTTTCTTTACTAGATGTGTTCTATATGCTCTATCAACGCTGACTTTATAAAAAAGTTGAATATCGCTCTACACAATCTATGTTACGTTTCGATACCCGTAATGGGCACAACACATATAATCTATTGTGTAGATTTGCGCTTAACGACAAACAGATTTCTCGTCATGCTTTAAGTGCAACTTTATCACCTCTGGAGTGGTATCACAAGTCTAAGATTTCTTTTACGTTTTTATTAGACCAGCAACTTAAATGTAAATATTCGTTAACTTGGCCACTTGTGTAATTGATATCGTATTTTTAACTTCATCCAAACATTATTTCTGAGATGAAACATGTTTACTTTGAATTACGTATGAAAGTCTAGCTCAGAAAGTGTGGATACGTTTTGGTTTGACTCTAATATGATTTTTATACCTTTCTCACTTCTAAAACTTTCAACAAAGTGCAGAGCCATACATTAGTTCAAAGTAAAACTCTTTTTTAAGAAAACCTCAGTAGAAGAGTGATAAGAGTTTAGATATTCGGATTCTTTTTCGTAGAAACGCGATCAGAATTTTAAATCGTAATGGCTCTGATGTCACGTATCGATGAAGACTCAAGCAAGAATTCTCATTAGTGTAATAAGAAACACAAACAATCTAAATATTATAGATTACGTAAACGAGATCTGGAGAAAAAAAACTTCGAAGTTTTATTAATTTTTTTCTGTTTATCAGAGAAGGACAGACTTCGGCGGAAGAATGGCATCGGCTCTATGGAAAGTGTTCTGGGAACGAGATTTACCACATTCAACTCGGTGATAGTCGATTCTTCGGAGAGTATGAGGGGAAAAGCTTCAGTTACGCATCTTTTCATGCACACAGAAAGTGAGTTGTATATGTTGATAAATATTTCGAAATCTCTAAGAAGATAAATTGGATTGAATATAGATTCAAAAATATAGATTTATGTATACGTGTTGCTATCATTAGACAGCAATTAAATGTCTCAGATCATTTCAAATCTAAGTTCCTGTTTCATGAATACTTTGGGTTGTTGGTTCTAAAATATAAGACTTTAAATTGTTCTGTTATCTTATTCCCATTATTTATTTGATACATAGGTACGGAGTGGCTTTGGTTGGAATACAGACGGACCTATCCGGGACTTGGCCAATCATGTTGAACCCTGGTCCATCGTATGTTTTAAAAATGTCTGACATCTGTTTCTATATGAGTATAACTAAAGAAGAGAATAGTGCCTTTTTACCAAGTTCATCTGGAGATGAAACCAAAGCTCCATCTTCAATAAATGAAGATACTTCAAAAGGCCTTGAATATGAGGGTCGGATGAAAGAACGGAGAAAATCTGGTAATTTTGTTATTTCACTTTAACGAAGATTACGAAATATTTCTGGCATGAGATCTAATTTTAAACCATTAAATGTTTTTTCTCATCAACAGCTATTATACGTATCCTCCAGTATCACAATAGGTAAGTAACAATATTTCATGTCCCATGGTTCTTTACAGGCCCAGTGCAGGTTTATTAGTAGGATTTATACTATCAATATCAACTATTGCACTATTGGAAACTTTTGCACTTTTAACTCGACATTATTAGGTTTAGCCTATTTGCACTCTTAACTCGACATTATTGTTTATTAGGTTTAGCCTGTTTGCACTCTTAACTCGACATTATTGTATTGTTAAGTTTAACCGGTTGTTTCATGTTTAATAATAATAGAATAATTTGCTGGAACTATTCTTTTACATAAGCTAATTTGCGAAACAACAATAAAAATATCACATCATTAATAAATAAATGTGTCCTCGTTTCTTTTATTATCAGCTTATTCATATTATCCTAAAGTATTTATTAGATAATGATATATAATGATATATTAGAAAAATGAAGGTATAAATTACCGAAGGAGCGTCATGTTAGTTTCTTGCGATCCTACGTTACTTCCGGTCTTTGTTGGATAATTAAATTCACAGACAACCTTTACACCTAATTGTATGTTATTCTGTCATAAACGTTTGGGTTTATTCAATTTGTACTGCCTTACTGTAGCTATTGTGCTTCGGCTGGCTTATTTATATAAATAAAAGTAAATTCAATCTCTTGTATGTATTTAAAATTCTCAGGCACATATTATTTATACATCTGTATATCACACTGCGCGATAATTTTTCTTTCAGCTTATTTTGGAAAACAGTTTAGCATATTCTTATATAACTGGTGAATATCTTTGATTTTACGTTGCCACAAAAATGGCACAAGTTTGGCTTAAGTCGCAATGAACTTTTATTGATCGTTTTATAGAGAATCGCTATTTTGAACTTTCACCACTCAAATCAAAAATCACGCTTGGTTTGGGTAAAAAGCGACATCTGGAGGTTCCCAAGACGGATGGTTTGTTAGGAACAGACGGCTACTATCCTGTACGAGGAAGGCGTCCAAGCATAGCTCCTGTTCCCGCCATGTTTGGAAATGATGATGACTCCTCACCTAATGATGATGACCATGATGATAAAACAAACGAGGAAGAAGAAAAATATCTGGGCATTCCATTGACCACTCCTGTTGAAACTTGTGGGTATGTCCATCTGTCCATTTTATAAAGCACCTACATTTTGAAAGTAAAAATTTAATAGTATGACATTACATAATTGATACATATAATATGGGGAATAAGAAATATCCGTAGTTCAATCAGACATGCTCAGCTAGCATTGGAATTTTATTAAATATTTTGGTTTGTAGAATTTAATATAAATTGTATTATTTACATTTAGATAAACAACTGTCGCAGCTTCCGTCGTAGCCTAGTAAATAGTATTATGTAAAAATGAACCAGGATCAGAAATGAAATTGTATAAGTATGAAATGCTTGCGTAACAATAAACGTTTGTTATACTTTGTCCAATCAGTTATGCATCCACAGATGAGCATTTTAAGTTACAAAAATGACGATTAAATTGTATTGTTTTGGAGTTGTTTGTTATATAAACAAAATGGCGTGTTCTTAAAATAAATCAGTTACACCAACATCCTCGTGTTGATTGTTTCCTGAGCGGAGTTAAGGTTTAAAAACAACAACAACATCGTTCTCTCTAGATAGTTTGCTATTCGTGTTTCCGCTATTATCTTGGCAAATTACAAAACTATTCAACACCAAAGGTTGAAGGTGGAGTAAACTATATAAACATGACTTTCCAACCGCTACCATTGTAACGTGATAGTCACTACAAACATGTATCACCTGGAATAAGTATAGTGTTTTATGTTCCCGTATTGATATATGGGATGGGGAGGAGGGTAAAACTCTGCTTTATGAGACTTTCCTCAGCTCTTGACAGAAACGTTTCGATATTTGGCTTAAATTAAATTATAAAAACCCATATTTCAACAGGATGACGCTGTACATATAATGGAGAGAAATTAGCAGTTGAGTTGTTTTTCTTGTGAAAATGATTGGTGTATTCCAATCTGTAGACTGGTGTAAGTAACTTCAGGCAAGGAAGTCTTGTGCTCATTTGCCAATAGTGGACTCTTGCTATCGACTTTTAACTTAAGTACGTGCGTGAAATGTTTACTCATAATTCAAATCAGCTTGTTGTTCTGTTTGACATCATGACCAAATAAATCTTAATAAACGTCGCCTTATCCAAAAGAAAGAATATATCCTTCATTCAAAGAGCTGGATAGTATAAAGCATAAAAGATAAATTAAAAAGTATGACTTCCGATAACTTACGAGCTTAAGTCTTTGTGAGAAAGCTAAGCTATTCGGCTTAGTTAATTTGACAGTTCTTGTCAATCGGCGTAAAATTTGAGACAATCTCGGTTACATGACATTTGAAATGATTTTGATACTGTCTGCATAGATTATTCAAATTACTTCACCATATTTAAATTCTATAACAAATGTACCTTTTCCCCATACTAACAGCTTACTGGTGATAGAAATAACTGAATTATAGATTTTTACGCAAATATAATTCAATGTAGAGAGAAACCACTATTTCTGGCTATAAAATCAATATTTAGAAACTAGAAGCTCAAATTGAATTCGTCAATTTTACTAAACTATCATTTTTAACGTACATTCAATGTCTAGAATTATGTTGGTAAAATCTGTACATACTTAATTTTAATTATTTTATATTTTTTAGTCAGCAAAAGCTTCTTGGCTGTTTATACGTAATTTGAGGCGGGATTTGACTAGGCAAGTAGTCAGTGTGATTTTAACTTGTGCTGATAGAATTATGAAGAAGTATTTCAACGCTATGTTTTTGTCATTCATGAATATCTTTTTGTGTACATATGCTTGCTGTGAAATGTCCTTGTAATTTTTCGGGGAAAAACTAATGCTACTAAAAGCATACGGATGCGTATTCTCACAATAAGTTCTTAAAATACAAATATTATATTTCGTGTTACGAAGACAAAACACATTTCTCTATAACACCATAACCTATTCCTTGTCGTCTAACCCGTTACAAACTTTAAGAAATTATTACTTACCAAACCAACTACCAACAGGATGATTAATTGTGGTACGTTTGATAGCTCCGTCAGAGAAGTGTGGGATGAATTGATGTAGCGAGTTCTGTAAAATGTTATCAGAGCAAATCAAAGAAAAACTATCTTAGATATAGCTTATTATTTTCAATGAAACTATAATTGAAGTTGCTACCAACTGAAGAAAGAAAATATCTGTCCAAGACTCGAACAGACTGATATATATATTCGACTTAAGCCGTGCCTTATGCGACACGAGATAAAGGGTCTCAGCCAGAGACCCCAAAGTTCAAGCATCGCCGTTCACTAATTTGGAACTGCTTCTCAGAAAAAAGGGGCAACTATTCAGGTGCACCTGTAACTTACGATAGTAACCGAATAGTAGAATTGATTGATACTCTTATGACGCGCCCTCAGCTGAAAGTACGTAGAATGTTAAGCGACATATCGCGGAAGCGTAGAATGTTAAGCGACATATCGTGGAAGCGTAGAATGTTAAGCGACATATCGCGGAATTCCGATCCTTGGGTATTCTGATGCGTAGCTTGGCACACAAACCAGTTGACCAAACCCGTGTCTCGACCAAATAAAATAGCAGAACAATATGCACTGTGTAATTCTAAGTTCTAAAAACAGGTATTTTCAAGATATGTTAACGTTTCCGTGAAAGATGTAGTTAATTTTTTTTGTATTCTATGTTAAGTTAGTACTTGAATTATTCTATTCCAATGAAATTTAAGTTGTGTGTTATTTATGTAGACAGATTACAAACATTCTATCATCGATGATTTGACTTTATCAAGAGACAACTTTTTATCCTTCTTTTCATCCGAAGCTAAGATGGGTGGGAAGTCAAACCAACATTGTAAGCCTCTTAATAACATGTTTTTCTGCGACAATTGTAATTAAGAGAAATATACATGGAGATATATTTGAGTACTACTATTTGTCTGGTAAATGAGAGCCAATAAGATTACATAAAGCCACATACATATTTTTAAACAGTGATTCATTGCCAAAGATAGCTGTGACTACAGCCCATTGAACTTACTTTATTTTGGTTATTGAAAATAATAAAAAAACTGAAAATAATCTCTCGGTATATTTTTATTGGATGTAAACAATGCTAACACTTTAGACAAATGAAACTTCTAATAGGATGTGAATAAGCTCATACATCATACGTAACTGATGTAATAAGAAATCCAGATTTAAGGACTTTACGTGTTACGTTTAATGTATATACACCTGTCATGATGTAATAATAAATCCCGATTTAAGAACTTTACGATGACAGTTATATATACATTAGACGTAACAGAGCTAATAAGAAATCCAGATTTAAGGACTTTACGATGACAGGTGTATATACGTTAGACGTAACAGATGTAATAAGAAATCCAGATTTAAGGACTTTACGATGACAGGTGTATATACATTAAACGTAACAGATGTAATAAGAAATCCAGATTTAAGGACTTTACGATGACAGGTGTATATACATTAAACGTAACAGATGTAATAATAAATCCAGATTTAAGGACTTTACGATGACAGGTGTATA